TTTAACACGAACGTGTCGGACCGCGCCCGGCACCGGTCCGGGGCGACCGCCCATCGAGGTCATTCGAACGCGGCGTTGAGCAGGTCGTCTTCCGATTTCCTCCTGGACTTGCACCGGTGGTCACGTATCAGGCCCCGGTAGGGTGCGCACGACTCTAGATCGCATTCGCCGAAACAGTTTTTCTTCTCGTACGCGTAGTCCAGTGCGTCTCGCGATGACTTGGTCGGGTTCAGCAGGGTCACTGTGTCCCCGTCGATCATGTCCGCGTCGAACAGCTCGTCGCCGAGTTCCGCGTACGCTACCGAGCCAAATCTGAAAAATTACGAAACGAAAATTACACCGACTAGCTCCTTATTATTAATTTACTCAAATCAACACAGGTCGAGTAACACGGGGCTGTTGGGTATGGCTATTATTAGTAGGTTTGCAACTGCGGGGGTTGGTATAGTGGGAGCTGGCCACACGTGTWTGTGTTGTATTATAACTATATTATCATAATCGCTGTATATAGAATCATTATGGTAAGTGTCATAAGCTATAAAGTTAATTAGATTATAGGTATAACATTTTCGTTAAAAACGGCGCATGTGAAAAGCCGGGTCATTGAGTATAAACAAGAGAAAACGGAAAGTGGCTGGTTTAGCGGTGATTGCTTGAAGTGGTAACTGAACCTAATAACCTAACCGTTATTGTGTCAATAAAAAGGTTGCAGTTTAATTGTGTATGTGTGTGTTTCGATTTATTATTATGTGTCAGAAATAATTAGCATAAATGACATCGCACTCAGTATAATATTACAACAATATGTGATATACATCGGATTGTATTTCAAGTTATTGTGGCCAAGGGATAATTATTTTTACATATTCATCTTTGCAACCAATGTTTGTAGGTACATTTTTTTACTATAATATTTTGTGCATAATTATAAACGAGATGTGTTTAGTTAATTTTTGTAGCAATRACGATCGACGGTCTCCACAGTTGAAGATAATCAATAAGCCATTTTTAAGGAAACAATATTAATGTTCCGGTAAATATGGATAAATCATGAACCAAATATTCACAACTCTAGAACAAAATTGTACAACCCAAAATTTATAGTTTTGAGAAAAATCGATTTTAAGTTTGAATCAAGGTATTTTAAAAAGTTTTACCTAAGCGTTTGAAACTTAAAACTTAAATACTTTCAAACATATTATATAAATATGAATTTTTAAAATATTATGAAATACTCTTTCCCACCAAAAAAGTTAGACTTGCGGCCTTTTACATTTTTTTAAAATTAATTCAGACTGCCATATTTTGAGATGTGGCTTTATTGTATAATGCATACATAAGTTGATGTTAAGACAGTCATAAACTAAAATATGGCAGTATTCATTTCATATTGTGCGGCTGAAATATCACTAACTATAAAATACCACCTTAACTCTAAATATTGCTGTTTTTCATTAAACATATCACATGATAATTAGTTTTTGCTTAGTGTAAGAACGAACAAATCAAAATAAGGCACTCTTGAATTTTGACTTCGGAAATTAATTGGATAAATTAAAAAAGTATTCTGCCATAAAGTAAATATGATCGTTCTTTTATTTTGAAAATTAGCTAAAAATTAAATAATTCAATATTGTTGAATGTTTTAAGTGACTAAATAAAAAATCATATTGAATGTGGGCGTTTATGTACTTTATTATAGAGGTATTTTTTCCCCAATTGAAAGTAGTCATCGCAACCTCAAAATGGATGGATTTTGAGTTCTGTCAGTCTTGTTATAGAGGTAAAAAATATTGTTGTCACATACCATGGTCTGTAGGTTGGTATATGGTTGAAACTTCTTTTATATATTTTATTTTGTATGTGTATCATGTATAAAAATAATAAGTA